TCCCCCCACCATCATTCTGTATATTCCTTTTAAAAACCCTGTAATTCCACCAAAATCCGTTGTCCCACTTGTAGAATACTGACAAATCCCCTCAGAGGATGGATATAAATTCTGTGTGATTTTACAGGTTAAACCAAAATAACAAACAAATAAAAAAAGTCAACAACAACGGAGCCTTTATTTTTTCAGATTTGAGTTTATACGAGTATTGTCAAATGTCAAATGATGTCGAATACGTTCCAGTATTCGCCAGCCTCGAGCCATAGTTATAGGCAACACACCCTTTTAAAAATTTATTTTTATCTTCTTGCAACTTTAAAACATTCCATAAGGCTCCACCTCAAATCTATGACAAGTTCTATTCGTGCAAAACCACCTCAATGACCTCAATGGTGAAGATGCGTTTTTCCGGAAAACCAAACGTTCACCGCAAAAGGTTTATGAACGGCTTATGTTCATATGAACCACTCAATGATGTAACACTCTACTGATGGACTTTCGTAAACAATAATTATAAATGTGAAGAAGGGAACATTTAGTAGGGATGTCGTGAAGTGTTTACAGCTTCAAGATCTACTGCCTTCCAGATAGTTAGAGACAAAACTTCGGCATCACAATGATAGGGATTAAAGTTGTCACGCTAAATTTTATTTTCGTTGTTATTATTATTTGTTTCTCGATGTTAGGAGTATTCGAAGTTCTGTGAACCTTTTCTCGGTCGTTCGAGATTGTTATTTTAATAAAAAAGGGTCGACCATAATTTTCAGGAGGCATCTTGCCATGCCACGGAAATTGCATAAGGATTAAATTGAAATCCTACGAATGCGTCGTTGACAATTATATATGAATACAGCGCGCAAATGTTCTTTCAAGATCACCTTTGGTGGAGAATTTCTTAGTAAATGCAGTGTGCTTGAACTTAACTCTCACCTTCATATTTCGCGTAAGACTTTTAATGTGCGCCTATAGAAATACCCCTTAAAGAGGATGACTAAACTTGCCAGGGGAGATTTTGGCGCAACGTCACCTTCACACCAACAAAAGAGAAGAAAAGACCCACACGAACTGTAAATAATACAAATAAGCCATCGGATCTCGATGACCAGAAAAAAAAGCTTAACATGTACAGCTGCACTTCAAAAAGATATCCATAAAGGTAACCTAAGGTAATCTGAGTTAGTTAGGAAATTGGGAATACTGCGTTAATAATCCTCTACACCGTAACTTCATCATGCATATACTCCATAATGTTTTCTATATATCCCTTAAGGCGTGGAAAAATAGAATTTGTTTAACAATCAAGAGCTACTTAAGTTAGTGATTATTTCCTTTTTCTCCTGACATTAAAGTTTGATTCAGGAGGTAAGTTGTATGGAGAAATTAGATGCTAGTAACTTTTAGGGATTAAGGGGCCAAGGAAGCTTGCCTACAAT